GAAAACGGCAAAATTGTACGGATGTTATACATGAATGACTTTGTACATCTGCAAAATTCTACTCATAGGATATATAAAAAGATGATGTATATCACCGAGTATCTTTTGCTACTCCTAAAGTTAATTAAAACTAGTAGTATAATAATCAGGTAGAAATAAATCCAGTAAAAAAGGAATAGAATACTACCTTTTTTCTACTTTTTTGAAACCATTGGTCAAGCTACAAATTAAAACTGGAGCTGCATGTACGTGTCACCTACGTGCGCGTCCCGGTGACCAGAGCGTCCGGTGCACGTACGACCTTGCCCTATTGATGTATCTGTATATATAAGGTTTTGATCGCGCGCATCCGATGGAGTTTGATCGTGCCAATCCATTACGATCCGATCCAGTCCACCGTCCTCGACGTAAGCGATGCGATCCAGTCGCATGTCATGGATTGAACCTAGAGTGCACTCCCCGATTCACGCCACATCCTCTCCCATAACTCCTCCCACATAAGAGCATCTCCAGCCGTTGGCCCTTCAGGTGGCTCGAAAAATCGCCGCCTGGGAATGAACCGGTGCTAAAATCGGCCTGGGGGTGATCGGGTTCCCAACCAACAACACCCTTAGGGTCGGCCCCAGGCACATGTTTTAAACTTTTTTGAACACTAACTCGGCTAAAATTCGAAAAATGGGACAAATATTTGGCAAAACAGGACATTACTTCGGCGACTAACAGAAATAGTTTTTTTACATAGATAAAATACTTAGAAGAAAAAAAAACAAAGGCGGTTGCGACTACAGGCCGAAGAACGCGTTGGGCGCGGTGAAGTCTTCGCCGCCGCCATTGTCCTCGTCGTCCTTCTCCTCCTTCACGCGGCCGCCCCTGCTAGACCCCTGCCCGGGGTCGCCTTGGCGGACTGGTGGCGGCGCGGCGTCATTGTTGCTGTCGTCGAGAACGACGACGCCTCCCTCATCGCGGCCACGGCGCCGAGCGGCGATCTGCTCTAGGGCGCGGCGCTGGCGCTCCAGCCCCGCCCGCTCCTAGTCCTCGCACGCCCACTTCATGGCCGTCGCGTCGTCGAGCTCCGACTCCGTCTTCCCGCCGGCAAGCCTTGGCTCCGTCTTCACAGCGGCGAGCCCCGGCTCCGTCTTCGGCTTGACGATGCAGGGAGAAGCCGAGGAGGAGGCGCGCCCGCCCTCGTTGATGCTGAACGGTGCGGGGAGAAGCTGAGGCGGCGTCTCCGCGGGCTCGGCCTTGACGCTGAACAGTGTCGGCGACCCGGAGGAGTGGGAGGAAGAAGAAGAGAAGCTGACCCTCATCGGCATCCATTGGTCGCCGCTCCTGCGCGGGACCGGGGCGGCAGGGTACGTCAACGGCAGCTCATTGCTGCCCTCGAGGTGCTGGAGGATGGCGTGGAGCGTGCGGTCGGGGCGCCCCACCACAGGAGGCGGCCGTCGTTGTTCTTCGTCCCCCGCACGACCAGCGCGTTGTTGGTGGAGGCCAGCCGCTCCGCCTGCCGGCGCTCGAAGTACGATGCCCACGCCTCGTGGTTGCCGGCGGCGTACTGCGGGAGGGCCCGCTGCGCCTCCGTCAACGACGCCCGAACGCGCTCGACCTCATCGTTGAATTAGTCGGCGCACGCCGTGACGTCGGGCAGCGGAGGGATGGAGATGCCCCCGGCGCTGAGCTTCCACCGCCCCAAGGCGCGCATGTCGGGAGGCGCCGGAATGTTGGCTTCATGCAGCAAGTAGGCTTCCCACTCGTGCAACGAGAGGCAGCCGAAGCTATTGACCGCCGCCCCATCGCCGGGGAACCTCTCGCCCTTCATCGCGGCTGGGCACGGGGAGAGAGGGGAGGAAGAACTCGGCGGCGGCGGCTGTGCATGGGGAGAGAGGGGGAGAGAGAGGAAGCGCTCATCGGCTGCGGGCGGGGTGCGGCCACAGGCGAGGGGAGGCGCTGCATATAGTGGTCGGGGGGCATGTGTACGCGTGGCGGGAGGGGACGCGTGATGACCCACAAGTATAGGGGATCTATCGTAATCCTTTCGATAAGTAAGAGTGTTGAACCCAACGAGGAGAAGAAGGAAATGATAAGCGGTTTTCAGCAAGGTATTCTCTGCAAACACTGAAATAATAGGTAACAAATAGTTTTCTGATAGGATAATTTGTAACGAGTAACAAGTAACAAAAGTAAATAAAGTGCAGCAAGGTGGCCCAATCCCTTTTGTAGCAAAGGAAGAGCCTGGACAAACTCTTATATGATGTAAAGCGCTCCCGAGGACACATGGGAATATCATCAAGCTAGTTTTTATCATGTTTATATGATTCGCGTTCGGTACTTTGATAATTTGGTATGTGGGTGGACCGGTGCTTGGGTACTGTCCTTACTTGGACAAGCATCCCACTTATGATTAACCTTTATTGCAAGCATCCGCAACTACAACAAAAGTATTAAGGTAAACCTAACCATAGCATAAAATATGTGGATCCAAATCAGCCCCTTACGAAGCAACGCATAAACTAGGGTTTAAGCTTCTGTCACTCTAGCAACCCATCATCTACTTATTACTTCCCAATGCCTTTCTCTAGGCCCAAATAATGGTGAAGTGTCATGTAGTCGACGTTCACATAACATCACTAGAGGAGAGACAACATACATCTTATCAAAATATCGAACGAATACCAAATTCACATAACTACTAATAGCAAGACTTCTCTCATGTCCTCAGGAACAAACGTAACTACTCACAAAGCATATTCATGTTCATAATCAGAGGGGTATTAATATGCATATAGGATCTGAACATATGATCTTCCACCAATTAAACCAACTAGCATCAACTACAAGGAGTAATTAACACTACTAGCAACCCACAGGTATCAATCACAGACTTGGAGATAAGAATTGGATACAAGAGATGAACTAGGGTTTTGAGAGGAGATGGTGCTGGTGAAGATGTTGATGGAGATTGCCCTCTCCCGATGAGAGGAGTGTTGGTGATGACGATGGCGATGATTTCCCCCTCATAGAGGGAAGTTTCCCCGGCAGGACAGCTCCGCCAGAGCCCTAGATTGGTTCCGCCAAGGTTCCGCCTCGTGGCGGCGGAGTCTCGTCCAGAAAGATGGCTTATGATTTTTTTCCTCATCGAAAGACTCCGTATAGTAGAAGATGGTCATCGGAGGGCCACCAGGGGGCCCACGAGGTAGGGGGGCGCGCCCAGGGGGTAGTGATGAAGCTACGTACCTTGGGTAGGGGCACGGACCCGTCCAAAGAGCCCTACCCAAGGACATCCCTAGAAGAAATCACCTATTAATCTGCTTGAAGGTACCCCACTCGACAGGTTCAAGACACTCGACCAAGAAGCTACCACTCGACCATGAAGCTAATCACTCGACTGCCAGGAGACCTACAGTCACTCCGTAGGCAAACGGTTAGCTGTTAAGTAGTCTTCATGGTCATTATAGCACTTTATTAGA